ATACATACATACATACATACATACATACATACATACATACATACATACATCGTTTTGAAAATTAAAACAGTGGCATGCAGAACAAGGTGGTGATTGTATTCGATACGGCCACACTGGGAAGAGAAGCCAAGAGGTCCAGGATCCTTCAAGTTCATCTTCGAGGGCAGGAGAATGCCTAACTAAGCGGTTGCAGTGAAGGATTGGTCACCTTCAACATGGTCTGGCAAGTTGTCAGAATGCTATAAAATCTTTTTAGTAGACAGGTTTCTCGTCTGGCTGGCACCAGATCTCAGCCTTTTCCTTCTCCTAACAAGATTCCTAGGGCAATTTCGATTTCTGGGGGTCCATTGTTTCAATAGTCTGACAAGTTCAGTGGAGGGACACAGTGTCTCCCTTTAGATATCCTCTCTTCTGCCAGGAAGGTTACAACGGTGCACTTTACCTTTGTGCAATTCAGTGTGTGTCACATTTATCTGGGTGGCTTTTGTCTTTGTCGTTGTTATAACAACAGGTCAGGCCGTCTGGCACTCAGAGTCCTCCAGCAGACAGACAGCAGCGTGAGGAGCCAAAGTCTTTGCCCTGGAGCCCATCACGCAGCCATGCTCACAGAGCCCAGGGCATAGAAAGCGCTGGAAGGGCGTGGAGCAAGGAGGACCCACGTTAATCATTACCCAGCAGCGGCCGGATCTCTGCCCCGCCCCCGCGGTGGCCTGCTGCTTGCTGGCTGCTTCTCCTTCTCCCTTCCCTCTCTGCCGCCACCTGCTACCCGCCCTGGACATGGTAAGCTCAGGAGGTATGGCGGACCCTAAGCGGGGATCGGGAAGTGGGGCGAGGGCTCCGATGCTGAGGGTGCGGGCAGTGTCGGCACGTCGGGCTAGGGTCACTTTGCCCTCAGGGGTGCTGGGGTGCCGATAGGGGAGGTGGCAGCGGTGGCAGGCCTGGAGAGACTAGAGCCTGGCCTGTCTGCTGGCGGGCTCCGGCTGGGTGTGGCAGGAAGGCGGATCTCCATGGCCTGGTCCTGTCCCTACAGGCTAGCTGGTCCCTTGGGGTGCTAGATCTTGCTGGCTCAGTTCTCTCTGCACCCCAGTGCGGTCCCCGGCCTCGCGCCCCGCCCTAGCACCTAGCTGGAATTCTGTGTCCCACCTGGGTGTGGAGATGGGTCAGGTCCTTTGGAAAGGGGTGCTAGACACAGCAACTCTTCCCAAACAACACAGTTCTGTGCACCTCCTTTGGAACAGTCGGGGATTGGGAAGGCATTTTGGCAGCTGTGGCCTGGGAATGGTCATTGGGGACCAAAGACACAGGCTTGGATAATCAGTAATCCCTGGGCCCACACTGCCAGAGGCTGACAGAGCTTTGCTAAGCAAACAAGGCCCTTACCCTTCTGACCCCAGAGTTCAGAGCGCTGTCATTCTAAGACTTGGAGGTTCTGGAAAACTCTAATGAGAAAGTACCACCCCATCCTCTCCCACACCTCCCTACATCCCCACCAGTCCACCTATACTCACCACTCCTTTGGGAGGAACAAACAAACAAACAAAACTCAGTGGGTTCTGGTGCCCTGTTGATACCTGGTTGATATGTGATTACAAGGGGCCAGCTTATCAACCATCGGAAGGACCAGATCTGGAAAGACCTCCTGATTAACCACAGTGAAATCTCTGTTGTCTTCTCTACAACCATCCCTTGTCAGTGCAGGAGAGTGATGAGGTGGAGCCCCTTGTTTGTGAGAGCACACATACCAGTGATGGGTCTGTAGGCCCCAGTGCTGGCCTGGAACAGGTCTTCTTACCTGAGGAAGAGCTTTTTCAATGTTAGTTTGTACTTATGATCCCAGCATTGGGGGGGCAGAGATAGATGGATCGCTGAGGCTCAATGCAGGCCAGCTTAGCCTACTTGGTGAGAGAACTTGTCTAAAAAAATAAGGGGAGAGAGTTGCTCAGTGGTTACGAATACTGGCTTCTAAACCAAAGGACTTGGATTTGGTTCCCAGCACTCCCGTGACAGCTCACATGTGATTCCAGTCCTAGGGCATTCCACACACTCTTCTGGCCTCTTCAGGCACCAGAATGTGAAGACTAAAACACCCTTACACATAAAACATTTGAATGAAACAATTTTTAATTAAAATAAAGGCAAATGATACTTGGAAATGACATCTGACATTTTCCTCTGGCCTCTACACACATACATGCACACACCCACACAAACACATACACCAAAAACCAAACAAACAAAAAACCCCAAACCAAATATAGGACCCAAGAGCCTATCAGTAAACCAGCCCAGACCCCGCCTCCTGGCAGGACACTTCTCTGAAAACCTATACGTCTGTTGCTTGCTACAGGGCGCTTATATCCACCGCAGCCAGCACCAGTTGAATTCCTCCCAAAGGTCTGGGTTATGTTCTTGACCTATAATAGAAATGCCCCGGGGCCTCTGTTCTCTATTCTAGGCTGGCAAGGCACACAGGCTGAGTGCGGAGGAGCGGGACCAGCTGCTGCCAAATCTGAGGGCTGTGGGGTGGAATGAACTGGAAGGCCGGGATGCCATCTTCAAACAGTTCCATTTTAAAGACTTCAACAGGGTATGTGGAGTTGGGGGCTTACCAGGGCACACTCCGTGTTCATGCCATGTCCTGTTAGGCAAGGGGAAATACATATCCAAGTGACCTGCAAAGAGAAGGGCCTTGGACCCTGCCTTCCTGGAACTCGAAGTCCTTGAAGGACAGTTCTCCAAAGGATAACAAGCACATGTCCTTCTGAAGGCACTTCAATAAACAGCAAAAAACTGGCAAATACTAACAGTCTGTGCTGTTTGTACCACATAGAGGATGTTAGTAACATTATCACAGGCCTCAGGATCAGGGGCAGGATGTCACAGGGGAGAGGACTAGAGCTCCAGAAGTCTCTGGAAGAAGCTAGGCTATCCTCCTGTATCTAGGCCATGACAAGGTCTGGGTCTTCCTTCTTTTTATCAGGCTTTTGGCTTCATGACAAGAGTGGCCCTTCAGGCGGAAAAGTTGGACCACCACCCTGAGTGGTTTAATGTGTACAACAAGGTGAGTGAGGCTCCCCGACTTGCCCCCGTTCTGCCCTGCCTTGCCCTTGTACATCTCAGAACCCCAAGTCTTCCTGAAGGTTTGATTTGGACCTGACTGTGGGTCTTTCCTTACCAGTAAGTTGATGCCCACTTTGTCTATCCCCTTCCTAGAGCTAACAGAGACTCCCCACAGACAACCAGTCTCACTGCTGATAAGTGGAAAGAAAAACACTTTGAATGATTGTGGCCAGGCATTAGGAAGGTGAACCCCAGGAAGGGAAGCCAAAAGGAAGGGCATACCCACTTTAAATAGCACCAATGGCTTTATTCTAGATGGAAGAATGAGAGAGCAACAAAACCGAACAGCAGATCAGACTGTCTTATGAACATGCTAAGAGTTCTGCTGAACTGTTTATAAAAACCTGAAGGATGCGTTTAGGAGCCCACCTTTGGTTCTGATTTTAACCTTTGTCTTTAAAAGCATGTTTTTAAACATTTGTTTCGTGTAGTATATGGGCACATGTGTGCTGTACATGTGCAAGTCAGAGGACAACTTGTGGACAACTGTTCTCTCCCACTCTGTGGGTCCTAGAGGCTGAACTCAGGCTGTCAGGCCCACTGGCCAGTGTCTTTTCCCACTGAGCATTTTGCTGGCTGCTGCTTTTTGTTCCTTTTTGCTCCTGATATCTGGCTGTAATTTTTTTTTTATCTTATTACTGAGGTCATCATTACTTTTGAAACTATCAAATGAAAATGGTGTGTACGAAGCTTGGTACCTTTCTTGGAGCTATCAGGAAAACAATGGCCAGTACTGCTTCAGGAATGACCAGTGGCGAGTTTCTGTCCTCAGAAGGACTTCCATTGACTGGCTATTACCCTGCAGTCCCTGGTAGACCTGAGACCACAGCTGTGACTCTCTTGCTCTTCCTGGGAGGGCACTTGCCTGCACCTGAACTTCTGGTTTTCTCTCATTCAGGTACATATCACCTTGAGCACCCATGAGTGTGCTGGTCTTTCAGAACGGGACATAAACCTGGCCAGCTTCATCGAGCAAGTTGCTGTGTCTATGACATAGATCCGCTCCTTTTCGTATTTCCTGGGGGGGAGGGGGTGACTGAACAAGGCACCTAGGGAGCAAACTGAGGAGGCTGGCCCTTGGTCCCTGCTGCTTGCAGTGAAGACCACCTCCACTTAGGGATGAGTCCCTGTGCAGAAAGATGTAGTTGTCAGTGTCAACAGCAGGAACCGAGACCTTTCCCTGTATTACTCTCCTCATTAGGGCTCTGCCATGTTACACTAATTTGAATAAGGTCTTTTTTTTCCTCCATAGGCTTCCCAACAGCAGTAAGTGTTCTTTCCAGGCTGTATCTTGCTCCTTTTCGACCCTTTCTAGTTCATTTTTCCAAGTAGCTGTGTCAAAGCCTGACAAAGTTCAGTCTCAGACCCCACAACTAAAACCAGCCCCACTGTATTATGGAAACTTGCTTTTATGCCTCCAATAAAACTATGATATCAAGTGGTTCAACTTCTAGAACCTTCTTTTCCAAACAGGTCATGCCAAACTGAAATCAATCATATTTAGTTTTTTAGGGTTTTGACTTGGTTTCTGGAGGCAGGGTTTCACTGTGTAGCCCTGGCTGTTCTGGAACTCAACTCTGTAGACCAGGCTGGCCTCAACGCAAAAGATCCTCCTGCCTCTACCTCCCGAGTCCTGGGATTAAAAGGTGCATACCACCACCATCCAAGCACAACCATGTTTAGTTTTGAGGGGTTTGTTCTGGTTTTTGTGGCTCTGGGGATCAAACCCAGGGTTTTGTACATGCTTAGCCAACAGGGATGGTCTCACTAAGGCCATAAGTCTGTCCTCAAGGGAGGATGCCAGTTATAACTTGGAGATCAGAACTGCTAATGCCATCAGGAATGGGCAATGTATGCATAAAGCATGTGAACCTATATCTAGAAAGGCAGTATGCAACCTTCTTCTATTATGGCTAATTTTGTATGAATGAAAGTAGATATGCCATGATGTATCAGATTCTGGGTGTGTTGGAGCAGGGAGGTTCTAGCTGAGGTTAAGCTTTGAATTGGTCCTTAGAAAAGCAGATTGCTCTAATACAGGTGAGCTTTGTTCAATCAGTTGAAGGCTTAGATAGAGCAAAAAGGCTGCCTATCCTTCACATAGAACTCTGGACTCCTACTTAAGCAGGGATTATTAGTACTTTCCTGACTTCATAGGTCTTGAGCTCTAGGCTGGAAATGCTCCTCTAGCTAGCCAACTTGGCTTCCATTGTCACGGAACCAGTTCTTTATCCAAAGTCCACTTCTGTGTGTACTAGTCATTTCCAATACACTGCCTAATACACTGGCTTACATCAGAAACCAACAACATCTTAAGACCTCCAGTTCTGACAGCTTCTGCAATTCTCTGTCTTAGCAAAGGGCTTACCTGCTGCTACTCTACAGGGAGGACATGGTAGTGTAGGTATTAATGGGCCATTTGCTATGGGAGCAGTTAGAGACAGTTAACACAGGTCAGGTCCCTGGCTAGGAATTCACAGGAGTAGAAAATGCCCAAGTGACAAAATGATTAAGAATGGAAGCATGGAAGCCAAGCCCAATCTTATCTACACCCACATGTATGCCATTAAGACACCCAGAGCAGGAGACAGAGCAGCTGTCTCCACTGTAGTCCTCACGTATATGATTCCTGGCCTGGAGCCTAGTCAGCCTAGATAAGTTGGTTGCCCCCAGGGTCAGAAGATGCAGACGGTGGCATTGAAAAATGAGCATGCTGTTAAGAGGGCTGCTGGGCCCTCCCTAGCCCATGCTAGTAATGAAACAGAAATCTGTCTGCACAGCTCAACATCAAGACCACCCAGACTCAGGACAGTGGCATCTCGGTTGCACTTCAGACAATGTTCCCAAGTGTGCTTGGATCTAACAACTGAGGACATGGGATAAAAAGATAGAAAACATGGACATTGGACTATGCTGTTAATGGTCTTCCACTTACCACGAATCTGGATTTGAAAACACCCACTTAGGTGGCTCCAAATCAGTATGAGGCACATCTATTCACAAGTGACAGCTTTTAGAAACTAGTTTTATTCACAGACCCACCCAGGTCACTGAGGTTCTAGGGGAGGGCACTAACCAGAGAGGGGTGAAATGACAATCACATGTAATCACAAGTGGAAGGAAGGCCTGAATCTCCAGCAAGGAAAGCCTGTCAGACTGGGCCTGATGGCATAGGCCTGGAAGCCACCTACTTGGGAGACTGAGACAGGAGAACCAAAAGTTCAAACATAGCCTGGACAACTGAGTCAGAATCTACCTCAAAACTAAAAATACAAAACAAAAAAGGGCTTGGAACATAGTTCCCGCTGTGCACAAGGCCCTGAGTTCAATACCCAGTATCCTGGGGAAGGGTCATTGTCAAAGCCTGAATTTTGTCCACTCAGGCTATAATTAGTGGCTATCAGAGTAGGTCTGCCATTGCTTTTGTCACCACTGGGTTTGGCTGAGGCAACTCGGTACCATCAAGAACCACACCAAAGACAAAAAAGTATGCAGCCATCAGCATCCCAGCTGCCCTTTAAGCTCAGCCAGGTCTGTCCAGGGTGGACTGGTGATTGATCATCTTAGGGTATGTGCTGTTGATCATCTTCAAATGTACTGGTGAGGGTCTTAGTGTTTTCTGGTGACCAGGGATCTGGACCATTTGTTAGAATGTGCTGAAAGCTTGCTGGTGTTAACGCCAAGCTACCTGAACCATGGGAAGCCTTCTCTTTCTTTCTTTTTTTCTTCCCCCCCCCCCCCCCGAAAGGGGTTTTCTTTTTTCTCTGAAGCCCAGGCGGCCCCCCCCCTCTTTTTTTTTCTTTTTATTGGAGGGTTTCTCTGTGTAGCTTTTGAAGCCTGTCCTGGCTCTTTTGCTCTGTAGACCAGGCTGGCCTCGAACTCACAGAGATCCACCCACCTCTGCCTCCCGAGTGCTGGGATTAAAGGTGTGCGCCACCAACGCCCAGCCCGCCTTCTCTTTCTTATTCAGAAGAGAATGTAACACCCACACTCATTCATTATTACCCAGGAGTATTATGAGCCACTGGCTTTTGACTGGCCAGACAGAGCCACATTGTCCAGTTGGTGGGGGACCACCCAGATGGCTAATCCATCAATATGTTCTGGTACAAGTGGATGGAGAGTCAGTCAGGACCAAGGCCCCAACTACAGGCTAGGACTATAGATCTCCCTGGACAGACATAACCACAGTTCCTGGAGCCAACAGTCCCTGCTCAAGTGCCTGGACACGATGGACACTGCTGTAGGTATGTCAACTTCACCACTGGGGATGGGGTGTGGCAGGATGGGATGGGGGACTTCTCACCAGTTTCCCATTCAGCAACTGCTGTATTTGTGATCTGTCTAAAATGAATGCAACCATCCAATGATTATAGTTTGGGACATTTAATTATTCAATTGTTTCTTAAGAGTTATTGTTGCAGTCAGAAAAGGACATGGAGATGATGGGGGAGGTTAGAGAAGATAAAACAGTTTTCAAAGAGGCAAGTACCATTTTCCAAGTATAAAACTGGTAATATTAAAAGTGACATGGCAGTATATTCACAGTAATACCTACGACTAATACAGAAACAAGACAGTACAGTGTTTGAGAAGCTACTGTGGCACCTACTAAGCCACATGATACTAGACATCCTACCCACCCTGACACTGGCTAGGCCTGCATGCACACGCAAAGACACGCACAATGAAAGCCTGAAGTCACACTAAAGTTCCTAATCATAAAGTAGCTGCAGCAGGTCCCTCTGGAAAACACCACTGCCCCACACCAGTGCTGTCACCAAGGAAGGGAGTGGATCAGTTCCTGGGTCTTCTGAGACTACAGAAGATCTGCTTCTCCACTTTAGGCACTGGCAGGCCAGTGGTACCTGCTGGGTGGTCCCTGGTCCTCTCCAGCATGTGTAGACCCAGAGATAAGCCCTGCACAGCTTTAACTACTGGAAGGGCATGAGCTCAGGAACAGAGCCTCAAGCATCCCTGCACCCCGCAGAGCACTGTAGAGCATACAGGAGGGACGTGCACATTCGCACTTGCCCTTCATGAGCCAGCTGATGGTTATGGGGTCACAACAGTGCTGAGGAACACTTCCCAAGGAGGGTGAGGAAGAGCCTGGTAGTCTGGCTCTCCCAGCCAGCAATACTTAGGCTGAATACTCAGGAATCCCTGAGAAGAGGAGGGAACAGAGCAAGGCTCCTGCTGACTTGTTCCATACACAGACACACCTCAAAGACTGTGGTCCATTTCTTCCAGGGCCTGGGTGAGGAGTAAGTTTACTACTCACAGCTGGGGAGAAAGGCACATAATATGATCATCAGAGCAGGACAGGGGCTCAGCCTAGATGAGAGCCCCCATCCCTGAAAAGGAGAAGCAAGTGGGAAGTTAGCATAGGGGTTGGTCCTGTGCCTGTTATCACCCTGGGCAATCCGTCTTACCAAGGAATCCCAGGCCCCGGGAGTATTGGCTGCAGCCATGCCTTTCTACTACAAAATGACTCTCTCGTCCTATGCTGCTTCCATTTAGTAGGGGCTGAGGAACATCCAGTACCTGAAACTAAATGCCATCGTACCTTTGGAAGCTGAATCAGGGGGAAGGGGCAGAAGAACACATTGATGGGGAAAGTGTCCCCTGCACATCTTCACACCCACTGATGAAAGTCAAGGACACTTGGGGAGTGTTTCCTTCAATAAAAAACAGATTCTCATTACATGATAGATTAAGGCAATGTGGAAGGAGAGGACCACCACCCACATGTGCAAGTAGGTGCTTTAGGTGCTTATCTACACTGCCATTCAAGAAAATATGGGAAAGGGTCTGGTTTCAGCTCATCAGGCCCTCAGGTGTGATCTACCCCTACTCCAGAGAGGCAGCACCACGGCCAGAAAGCCCTAGATTCTCTGAAAACATGTTCTTTTCCTACCCTCCAGACCTAAGAACAAACAAGGTGGGGTCTCACTGCCAACAGGGTTCTCCAAAGATGGCAGCAACATGGTCATGCAG